TTTATTTATTTCATAAAGTCAAAACAAACTTGCACAATGTTGGGTGACGCAATGCTGAACAAAGAAGCAGAAATGTCTAATGCCAACAAAGAAACAACAGCAAAGTCAGCAGCGGCAGACACGAATTTCACAACAGTAAAAAACGATATTGATGCAGTAAAGTTAACGAATTTGCCTTCATTTTTGCAAACTGACCCGGAGTTATGGTTTACTCAAGTGGACGGATTACTACACATCAATCGCATCACCTCTGATCTATCCAAATTCTACACGGTAATCACAGCACTAGACGGCGAAACGCTTCGTCAAGTTTCAGACATAGCAAAAAATCCGCCAGCTACGGGCAAATATGAAACGTTGAAAAATGAATTAATTTCACGATTTGGGGAGTCGCGTCAGAAACAATTGATTAAATTGCTAACGGATTTAGACGTGTCTAACAAGCGTCCAACGCAGTTGCTCCGAGAGATGAGAGATCTGGCAGCGTCAAATATGTCGGAAGACGCCTTGTCAGCACTTTGGTTGCAGCGATTGCCTAGTAACATTCGTTGCATCTTATCTGCGTGCAGCTCCAAGGATGTTAATCAAATGGCCGAATTGGCAGATAGAATAACTGACAATATGCCCACTCCTCATTATGTTATGGCTACCGCATCTGCAATTAACCGACGCAGTAACACAGAGGAATCAACATTGGAGGCACGTGTGACAGCGTTAGAAATATCTCTGCAACAAGTGGTAAGTAAACTAAGTGAAATAGCAATAGAGCTCAGACGACCAGCAAACTCACAGGCGCGAAGCAGGGCTCGCAGTTCTAGCAGAACTCAGTCTAAAAGTCAGCGTGAAGATCGAAAAGTCTGTTATTATCACAATAAATTTGGAACAGCTGCAACAAAATGCTTAAAACCATGCGAGTTCGGCTGCCAAACAACTAATATCAAACAGAAGGAAAACTAAAACCGTTGTCGTCCACAAGTGCAGTAAACGACAACGCGCTGGAACACTGCACTGAAGAAGCTCGTTTACATGTAATTGATCGTATCTCAAATATGAAGTTTCTAGTTGACACCGGATCGGCCGTATCCATAATTCCTTTAGCAGCAATCACAGTGAAACGCAACCTAGTGCCAGATGAACTAAAATTATTCGCAGCAAATAATTCATTTATTAAAACGTACGGTACTAAGAGACTTAGCATCAATCTTGGTTTACGACGCAGTTTCAATTGGAACTTCATTATAGCAGACGTCAAATGTCCAATCTTGGGCGCAGATTTTCTGGCGAAATATGGTCTAATTCCAGACATAAAATCAAGACGGTTATTAGACCCGCTTACTACATTGTCGTCATCTGGTGCAGTTGAAACCACATCGATACATTCGGTATACACATTGGATCCAAATTCAAAATTCTTTACAATCGTCAACAAATACATTGATTTGTGCAGTGCAAATAACTATAGCCTCCCTGACGCATCTGTAGTCTGTCATCAAATAGTCACTGATGGTCAGCCAGTGCATGAAAGGTCACGCCGTTATTCAATGGAAAAATTAAAGGCAATTCGCGAAGAATTTTCAACGCTGTTGGAGCAAGGAATTATTCGTCCGTCAAACAGTCCGTGGTCGAGTCCAATTCACCTGGTAAAAAAGAAAACAGGTGCCTGGAGAGCCTGCGGTGACTTTAGAAAACTAAATGCGCAAACCAAACCAGATAGGTACCCAATACCATACCTAGATCAAGTAACGGAAAAACTACATGCTAGCAAATTTTTTTCAAAGATTGATATACATAGAGCGTACTATAACATACCGATGCAAGCTGATGACATATGCAAAACCGCAGTAAGTACACCCATTGGGTTATTTGAATTTGTAGTCATGCCGTTTGGTCTTAAAAACGCTACGCAAACCTTTCAAAGGTATATGGATTCATTGTTCAGAAAAATGCCATTCGTCTTCTGCTACCTTGACGATATTTTAATATTCTCAGAAAGTGAACAGCAGCATTTGGAACATGTAGAAGCAGTACTAAAAACACTAAATAAGGCCAAGCTTGTCATAAACACCGCTAAGTGCGAGTTCGGAGTTTCACAACTAAGTTTTTTAGGGTATGATGTATCAGTCGATGGTATCAGCCCGCCTGTAGAACGAGTGAGAGTAATTAATGAATACACGAAGCCAAAGACAGTAAAAGAAATTCGTCGTTTTTTGGGAATCCTAAATTATTACCGCAAGTGCATTCCACAGGCCGCCAAATTACAAGCACCTTTAAATGAGCTATTAAAAAATTCAAAAAAGAACGACAACACGCCTATAACATGGACTACCACGTTAGATGCAGCGTTTGAAAACTGTAAAACAAGTGTAACCGCGTTACCTAAATTAACATTTTTGTCTCCATTAAGTACAATTCGATTGACATCGGATGCATCAAGCAACGCAGTTGGTGCAGTACTGGAACAGCAAGAAGGTGATGTTTGGCGACCGGTTGCTTTTTTCTCTTCGAAGCTCAAGGCAGCGCAGAAGAATTATAGCACGTACGACAGAGAGTTGCTAGCTATATATTTAGCCATCAAAAATTTTAGACATTTATTGGAAGGTAGAAATTTTACAATTCAAACAGATCACAAACCGCTCATTTATGCATTCCAACAAAAGTCAGATAAAGTTTCACCACGTCAACTACGACAACTAAGTTTTATTGCAGAGTTTACAACAAGCATATCATACATAGATGGTAATGACAACATAGTGGCTGATAGTTTATCCAGAATTGATGCAATTAATATGCCTACGGTTATAGATCTCGAGATGATTAGCAACCATCAGAAAATAGATGAAGAGCTTAAGCAGCTATTAAAGTCAGATTCAGCACTTCAATTACAAAAACTTTTTTTACAACCCGATATGTCAACCTTTTGTGATGTATCAACAGGAATCATCAGACCATATATTCCATCATCACTTCGAAAGAAGACATTTGACACAGTGCACTCCTTAGCACATGCTGGTACTAAGTCAACGACAAAACAACTATGCAGCAAGTACGTGTGGCCGTCAATCCGAAAAGATGTCGCGAATTGGGTACGATCGTGCCAAAGTTGTCAACAAGCAAAAATAAACAGGCATAATAAACTTACGCCACAAGCTTTCAATCCATTGGATCAGCGATTCGATCATGTACATTTGGACTTAATAATACTTCCCGAATGTGACGGTTACAGATATGCACTAACCATGATGGACAGATTTACACGATGGCCAGAAGTCGTTCCGTTGAAAGATATCAACGCCGATACAGTCGCAGAAAATTTTTACGCACACTGGATATCGCGATTTGGTTCTCCGAAAATCATAACAACTGATCAAGGAACCCAGTTCGAATCAGCTTTATTCAAGGCGCTAGCAAATCGTTTAGGCACGCAAAGAATACGTACATCTCCGTATCACCCAGAATCTAACGGGTTAATTGAGCGATTTCATCGCACTTTAAAAACAGCTCTTATGTCGCGACCTAAACACGCTTGGATACAATTGTTACCATCAGTTTTGCTCGGACTTCGATCATCCTATAAAGAAGATATCAACACTTCAGCAGCTGAAATGTTGTATGGAACGACATTACGCCTACCGGGAGAATTTTTTGTGGAAAATAACACGCTTCCGAACGAACAAAAATTCCTAGCAACATTACGCGAGCACATCCAGCAAGTACGACCAATTCCGACGTCCAATCATTCTAGCAAAGCTGTATTCGTTCATAAAGCATTGGGCGATGCATCGCATGTATTCGTAAGGGCAGATCATGTAAGGAAACCTTTAGAGCTCCCATACACAGGACCACATAAGGTAATCAAGAAAATCAATGACAGACTTTTTACGGTTGACGTACGCGGTAAGCAGGTTAACATATCAATAAACAGGTTGAAACCGGCCTTTTTCGAGCCAGCAGTAATCGAACCAAAGTTTGCAGAAGTCGACGTAGATTGCAGACCTGTAAAGAAAGGAAAACTGACGCAAACGAAGAAGCAAGTAACCTTTAATGTGAAAGATCCGTTAGAGTAGCAGGTTACAATCAACAGTCAACAAACCAGACCACCGGTCCAGCTATTAAGGGGGGAGTACTGTGGCGAACTCGCCACACATACTGCAGCGCCCTCTGTGTGTGAATGTACACGCACTCGCACCATCTGTGGGCAAAAGGAACATTTTTCAATGAGCAGCTAACTTCAGTAACTGGCGACTGGCTTCCTTCTTCTTCCTATTTTGCACGTTTTAGTAACACAACGTTTTTATCATTTTGTAAACATTTGTTATATTTATTTAAAATAAAGTGTGTGGTAAAAACCCACAGAACTATTAAAAATAAATATTTCAAAATCACCTCTGGGTTGAATTCTTGATTAAACAAATACATATATCAGCAGAATTCTAAACTAGTGGAATTTTATGGATTCTTACCAATGACACGATATTTATTATCTTTTTTGGAATACGTTCATTATAAAATTCATTTATTAATAGCCCTTATCAACATTAATAATCAGCTAAATGGGAAATAGTAAGTGAAATGCATTTAATTTGATATTTTTGTGTATAAAATATATATTAAATGTTGTTCGATTTAAAACTAATGAATGATATAGTACAGTCCTAGTCACATCGGCACAAAAATCGTGAATAATTCTTAAAAGTGAGGTATTATTTACAAAAATCGCGATTTTCCAGCGAATAAATTAAACTGGGATAAATAAAATATATTTGATTTTATCCAAGGTTGCGTGTGAATTCTTAAGAAAATCATCAAAATTTCTTTGTGTTGCATTCACTGAATGTAATTTTGCGTGCATTTCATAATACAAACACAATTTTCTAAAAGCAAACGAAACAGATTCTTTCAAAATGAAAAGCATTACATAAAGTTAACTTATTGTTAATTTAATTTATTATACCGCATTTAATCACATGTTCATATTAATACCAACAAGACATTAATGTAGATTACTAAAAATTTATACATTTACCAACACTGTTAATAGCTGTCATTTCGACATTTAAAATTTTTGTGAAATTGCGCGAATATTTTATGAAGCACTGCGCGTTAAATTTCAGTCGAATTTTGTTTAGAATTTGTTGGGTTTAAATTAAATGCATTAAAATGCAACGTGTATGTATTAAATTTTATTATATTATTATCACAATTTATATTTCATTTACATTTCAGAGTATTGATTCATTCTTTAAAAGAACAACGCAAGCAACTAAAAAGAAAGAGGATGAGAAGTCTACACCAGTATCAAAAAAACGTAAATTGGTGGTGGTGTCTAGTGATGAAGACGAAGTTCTAGAAAGTCCACAAGTAAGCAAGTCTAAAGAGCATAAAAAACAGCATAAAGAAGATAAAACTAGCAGTCCAGAGAAGAAAGCGTCACTATGGAAATTGAAAAGTTCGCCACAAAAAAATCTCAAACGTGTCGATCCCAGTGTATTGTTTGGTGGCGAAACAAAGCGTATCGAAGCAAAAAAACCAGGAAAACCGAAGGAACAAGCTGTTATCGACCTTGATGATGATGAGATTAATCAAAGCCTTATGGACACTGACGTGGATGAACTTCTGTTAGAAGCAACAAACAGACATGTTGAGAGAGCAAAGAACCGCGATGAAGAAGTAGATGAACAGGAAACACCAGTCAAAAATACAACACCAACTACGCCAAAAACAAAGTTTAAACTGCACATATCCGATCTGGAGAATGATTCTTCAAGTGTTAGAAAGAAAGCAAAATTGTTACAAGAAGAAGATCATGATAACAAATCACGAATAGAAAAGATTACATCGGATGGAAATAAAAAAGATAAGAAAAGATCTCCAACAAATGAGCAAGAAAGGACCATATCGCAGAAGCATGAACAGCTTAAAACTGACGATGTTACTGATGGCGTAAATAAAAATAAATATATTCAAAAAGATAAAGAGGAGTGTGTGGTATCTTCAGCTAAAAAGGCAAAATTAAACCAAGAAAATCAAACAGAACATAAAAAGACACCTAAAAGTGATAAGAAAGAACGTAGTACACCAAAAACAAAGAATAATTCTTCAGATTTGGAAACGAGTAAGAATACCATTGTCCAATAATTGATCTTTTTTTATATAAACATTTATTCAAATATATTTTTATAGGTGTATTAACGGATGAAGAAAGACATGAAAGAAAACGTATGACAGCCATCTTATATCAAAAATACAAAAATCGCTCTAGTTGTTTAAACCATGGTTCCAAGGAAGTACCGAAGGTAAAAACACTTATTTTCTGGTCATATATTTTAGATGTCCAAATATATATTTAGACATCTAATAAAACCATTTTTTTAATTTTAGGGTAAACCAAATTGTCTTGCCGGTTTAACATTTTTAATAACCGGCGTCTTGGAGTCATTAGAACGCGATGAGGCTGCTTCCATTATTAAAGAATATGGTGGTAAAGTTATGTCGACAGTCGGTAAACGCTTGCAGTATCTTATTGTCGGTGAAGAAGCTGGTCCAAAGAAATTGGCACAGGCTGAGGAGTTTGGCATTACAATTCTTAGTGAGGATGGCTTATTCGATTTAATACGCAATAAATCTGGCGATAAGTCGCATACAGCAATTGAAGAAAAACCTACAAGTCTTAAGAATAAAGATAAATCGGATGATAAAATAAAATTGAAAAAAGAAGATTCTATTACGCCTCAGAAAAAATATAAGGAAGAAAAGAAAACACCACAAAAATTAAATAAGACACCTACATTCGAAAAAATGAAAGATATAAAAGCTGAATCTAATAATAATCATAATAATAATAATAATTTGGATAAAACTTACAAAATAAAATCTGAAGAAAAATTAGAGCAAAAGCCCGCAGTTAAAAAAGAAGTAGATGAGGACGTACTAGCTTGGGTTGATAAATATAAACCCAAGACGGTTAAAGAAATCATCGGGCAACAGGGTGCAGCTAGCAACGTCAATAAGTAAGTTTTAGACTTTGGGCGATGTATATTAAATATTTGATTACTTTTATTAATTCTTATTGTAGACTTACAAATTGGCTATCCAAATGGTATATAAATCATGACGGTAAAAAGAAGCTGCAAAAACCTAACCCATGGACCAAAAATGATGACGGCAGTTATTATAAGGCTGCTTTACTTTCAGGACCTCCAGGCATAGGTAATTATAAATGGATATCTTTAAAATTAGAAGCGAATTGAGCACTGCAACACGTCTGGAATTGAATTGAAATTTTAAACATTTTTGCTTTAACATTGTATACATTTAATATGAAACTAATAATATACAATAATAGGCTTGCCGTTCATATATTTTGAATAGTGTTCAATATATATATATATGTACATTATGTACTGTTATTTTATGTACGAATCTATTTCCAAATACTTGTATTTCTATCATACTGTATATCTCAAAGCATCTATTAGACTGCTATGATACGCTGCAACAGCTGGAAAGCAGAAACAAAGTGACGCTTTGCTGGGGGCCTGGTCACACAGGAATAAAGGGTAATGAGTCTGCCGACAGTCATGCGAGGGCAGGATGTGCGACTCAAATCTGTAGACCGGCACCTTATTGTCGATTAAGTTGGTGTACAACTACGTTTCTAATTGACAAATGGATCTCAGCCGAGTGAAGTCGGTACTGGCTTGACAGTCATGGTAACCGTCAGGCTAAACAGCTGGTTCACCCCTAGAGTTACGGTAAGGTATCCCTCTTCAGAAGAACAGAGTTAAGAGTGCTGGTGGGATATTTAACGGGTCACCCTGGACTGCGTTATCACCTTAATAAAATAGGTCTGTCCGAAAAGATGTAGTGTCGACTCTGCTTAGAAGCAGATGAGACTTCCTGTCACATTCTCTGTGACTGCCCAGCCTTGATCTGGGCCAGCAGGAGGAAGTCATTGGGAGGAGAGCTGCTCTCCCCTTCTGACATTAGGAGGTCCTCAACGGACGACATTCAGGCCTTCATTCGGAAGGCGAAATATTTTCTGTTCGGTTAGGGTCTGTTGCAGCACGAAAGATCAATCTGGTCTTATGTTCTGCTCCGTCGGGAGCTAGTACCCCGTTCATTCCTATTTCTATCATAATGTATATATCTATAAATGTGATGATTTTTTTTTCTTCAGGTAAAACTACTACAGCTACACTTGTGTGCAAGGAATTGGGTTTTGATACGGTCGAATTCAATGCCTCAGATACTCGCAATAAGCGTCTACTTAAAGAACAAGTTGCTGAATTACTCACAAATAAATCTCTTTACGGCTTCTGTCATGGTAGTTCACAGGCAGTAAGCAAAAAACATGTACTAATAATGGATGAAGTTGATGGTATGGCTGGTAATGAGGATCGTGGTGGTATACAGGAGTTAATAGGTCTAATTAAAGAGAGTTCAGTGCCAATTATTTGCATGTGTAATGATCGTAATCATCAGAAAATGCGCTCGTTAGTAAATTATTGTTATGATTTACGTTTTAATAGGCCGAATATAACACAAATCAAAGGTGCCATAATGACCATTTGTTTTAAAGAGAAACTCAAAATGGATCCCAAAAAAGTTGAAGAAATTATAGCAGCTACAAACAATGATATACGACAGACCATAAATCATATATCTTTATTGAGTGCAGGTAAAAAATTGAATTTGGAATCAAGCGGCAATAAAACTGATGATAAAGTTGCACAGAAAGATCTTAAATTGGTAACACAATACTATCAATGAAACATATATTTGTAAAAATAATTGAAAAAAATTTACTTTAAGGGTCCTTGGGAAGTAGCACGCAAAGTATTTTCAGCAGAAGAGCATAAACATATGTCTCTATATGATAAATGCGATTTATTCTTTCACGATTACAGTTTGGGTCCATTGTTTGTGCAGCAAAATTACTTGCAAGTTATACCGGCAGGTCCAAAGTAAGCATATATGTTATTCTTGATTTAATGCAATAATTCATTTCAATTGAAAATCTATACATTCTATTTTATCATAATTTGTTAGGATAAAATTTATTTTGAACTCTAATCAAGAATTAAATATGACATTACCATTGTCCTAAAAAAATTTTTCTTTTTTTTTAGAAAAGATATAATAAATAAAGTGGCATTAACGGCCGATGCTCTAAGTTTAGGCGATTTGGTTGAAAAACGTATTCGTTCAAATAATGCTTGGTCTCTGCTACCTACACAAGCTGTTTTCAGTTCAGTTATGCCTGGTGAATACATGTCTGGCATATTTACTAGTCAAATAAATTTTCCCGGCTGGCTCGGAAAATATTCACGCGCCAATAAACGCAAGCGTTTAGCACAGGAAATACATGATCATACACGTATACGTACATCAGCTTCGCGACAATCTATACGTTTAGATTATGCACCACATCTACTAGCAAATATAGTGCGACCACTCAAGGAGCACGGCGCAGAAGGTGTTGAAAATTCCTTAGATGTTCTCAAAGAATATCATTTATTACGTGAGGATATTGAATCATTAATAGAACTTACCACTTGGCCGGGTAAAAAATCTTTAATGGATGCTGTTGATGGACGAGTTAAGGCAGCACTTACTCGTTCTTACAATAAGGAGGTATTAGCTTATACTTATTCAGCTTCAGTAGGTATTAAAAAAAAGAAAGCTGAAACAACTGATGATGATGATATATATGGAGTGGACGGTGAAGGTGATGCTGTTGTGGAATCAGATGATGAAAAAGATGATAATGTGGAAAATGATGCACTCATAAAGGTAAATTATTTAATTTTTGTTTTTAATATATATATATTTTTTTTTGCTTTAACAGGTTAGGGCGTGTTAGTTAAGTAGTCTTTCATAGAACTAGTTATATCTTAATGATAACAGTTAGTTTGTGTGGCCTAGAAACTAAAGACTACTTTATAAATATTAAAAAATGTCTTAAGACCAGTATTAATAGAACACTTTATCATATAAATGGTCTACTTTACTAGAAATAAAACTCTGAACTCGAAAATAATAAGCAATAAAAATAAATTAAATCTTACAAGTTAATATTCATATCGGAGAATTGCATTGCCTGATACTTTACTAATTACATGCATTTAAATTTAATACAAGATTTTCTTTCTTAATAATTTTATGTTCTTGCTTTAAATTCAAATTAGTTCTAATCACTTTTTATATAATTTTTTTCTTCAATTTTTAGATGAAAAAGAAAACAACTACCACAACGAGTGCCGGAAAAGCCAGTTCTTCTAAAGCAACTAAAAAGACTGGAACTACAGCACCGAAAGCAAAAGCCTCTTCATCGAAAATTAAAAAATAAGAATTTCATATGTCATATTATTACTTTTATTACTTTTATTATTTAAGATAAAACTCATATGCATTCGTGTAGAATTATTAAATCATGAATTAAAATATTCGTCAAAATTTGTTAAGATATTTATATTTTACAATATTATTGTTTGTTTCAAAATCTTTACAGATGAATAAAGATTTTAAGTTGAAATACCTATAAATATATAATTATTTGCATTTTATTATAGTCCTTAAGTGTACCTTACTTTTCTTCTTTCACTTGTGCAATTCAAATGCTACCATACCGTTCCTTAACACTTCATAAATTCATTAAACACTTTATATATTTAATATAAACTTATTATATGAACTTACCTAAAGCAAGTTCCCAAGATTTTTATATATGCGTGATGCGTGCTAGAGTGTTTGAATCTAGTCAGATGGAAATAATAAGCACTACTTTATGTTGAAATTTATAAAAGTTTTGATAATACCCTACCGATTGAAGTAGTAACATCCAAGTATTGGACGTTCAAGTATTAGGTTTTAGAAAACCACAGTTAGATTAACCTGCAACTAAATCGCATTGAGAACACAAGGTTCCTGACTCTTGATATAGACTCACTATTTCAAAACCCAGTTTCTATCCTAAAGCCTTTTATATCCACTGAAAAGGTGTCACGACAAATTACAGCAACATCAAAATCAATTGTATACCTATGTGATAAAAAATGAAATGAATTTCTTTTAAAATAGTTGAAATATTTTCTGTTCCATTTATTTTCATCGTTAGAATATTGATGTGTTGACCGATTATATACACTATATTTATAAGACATAATGAATATCTTTTTTGAGTTCTTAAAACTTTATTTCGTAGTCAGTAGTCAGTTGCAGAACTGACTACTTGAGGTACAAGCAAAAAGTTCTTTTACTTGATGTTACCCTGAACATTAATCGAAAAACGTTGTCAAACATGTTCTCTTATGTATAAAAGAAATGAAAACCATCATCAAACTGATTGATAGTATATTTAAGATGGACTTTTTGAGATTTAGATTATTAAAATGGCATTGTCAGGTTAGACTCAAGAAAGAAAACATTAAATTTAACTACGATCATTATGTTTAAATATTGCAGTTTTATGTTTCCCGTTCAATTTTCTTTATGAAAATAGTTTCAGAGTATTCTGTGTTATATTAGAAGTTTTTAGAACCTTATGTTGCTTAGACAAGTGTATCTCTCTAAAAACTTAGACCTAGGCATTTCATATTATCTGCCCATTCTATTTTTATATTACTGGCTTATATTTTTCTTGGATTTTGGTTTCCACATCTTGCTTTCATTTCTTCACCATTTGCTTTAATTATCCACCTTCTGAAATATCTCATTAATGTAATACTTTTTTGCATCAGCTGCTTTTTTCGTAAACTATGTATATTGTTACCCCCAACTTGTTTCTTGACCTAAGCAACATTCTTATCTTGAACCACTTTTTAGTATAAGACTATAGGTTTTTTCTAAACTATATTTATCCCTATATATATCTAACCTGTGCTAACAATGCTGGATATGAGCATTCTAACCTGTACCGCTTAAAATTTATGAGAACGAAGTAGGAAACAACAGAAGCAGAGTGCGACCAAGAAAACGATGGAAAGACAGTGTCCAGCAAGACTTAGAAGAAATGAACATAAGAAATTCGAAAACAAAAACAAGAAAACAATAGAAGACTGTTGCTAAACAGACTTAGGTCCTACATGGACTGTATAGTTACGGATGATGGATGATATATCTAACCTATAACTATACTAACTATTACTATACATCGCTAACTATTGTTATGTTCTAAATTACTTTATTATCTAAGACAGCATTTCTATGTTCAATTTCGAACTCCTAAGGGTAGCTTTAATAATTGTGAAAATCGTCAAAAGTTTACAACAGAAACTACAAACAAGAATGCAATCTGAATCTGGGTAAAATATATCCTTCTAGGAATCAATATAGTTTCAATGACACAAACATATACTTCTATTAACATATATAAATTAAAAAGTGTAAATTAATTGTTTATAATATTGAAATAGATGTTTATTACTACGTTTGAGCAGACACTGCCTCATTATTAATTTCTAAATCTATATTCACAGCTGCCAACGCTTCAATAATCCATTTTGGTATTGTTTCATTTACAAAATATTTTGCCATAAAATCCTTGACGTATTGTGGAAATTGATCACGTTGTATTGCTTCTCGCATTTCACGCATCAAACGCAGCTGGAAAGCAATATTATGCACGCTTAATAAACTGCAGGAGACACTTTCAACAGTGGCTATATGATGCAGATAGGATCGTGTATATGTTTTACATGTGCTGCATATACAGTTTTCATCGATCGGGCACATATCGTTTTCATACTTCTTTTGCTTTAAATTTAACTGACCGCTGTGTACTAAAGCACAGCCAAATCTTGCCGTACGTGTAGGAAAAACACAATCAAACATATCAATACCAAGTGCTACGCAAACTACTAAGTCAGCTGCAAAACCTACGCCCATAAGATAACGGGGCTTATCCTTTGGCAAGAGATCAGTGCAAGTGTGCACCGTACGCCAAAATTCATCTTTACTTTCGCCTCCGCTCAAGCCGCCAACAGCAAAACCACGCACTTTACGTTCTTTCAATGCCGCCACACATTGCTGCCGTAATGCTGTATCCAAACCACCTTGCACAATGGGAAATAAACTTTGTTCATCATCGCGTGCATGCGCTGTAATGCAACGATCCACCCAACGTATTGTACGCTGCATAGCCTCTTCCACACGTGGTCCCGTTGTTGTTGTCTTTACCACATCATCCAATTGCATCATTATATCAGCGCCAATGGTATTTTGTATTTGTATGGAATGTTCAGGTGTTAACATACACATCGTGTCATCGTACGGAGAACGAAAATTAACGCCTTTCTCATCAATTTCAGCTAATTGCAATAATGACACCATTTGAAAACCACCTGAGTCCGTAAGTATAGCACGCGGCCAACTCATAAATTTATGCAAGCCGCCTGCTTTCTGTAGCGTTTCAATGCCTGGTCGCATACCCAGATGGTATGTATTTCCCAATAAAATTTGACAATTTAATTCAATGAGCTGATCCGGTAACACGCCTTTCATGGTACCCTTGAATTTAATACAATTTTATTTAGCATTTATGAAGTATTTTGTAGAATACCCACTTACCTGTGTACCAACGGGCATGAAGACGGGTGTATTAACTTCACTATGCCGCAGTGCCATCACACCGGCTCGTGCTTTTGTCGCCGAGCATTCATTTAGAACTTTGTACGTAAGCGGTGGCGCTTTGGTTGCAACTGATACCGACATTATAACTAACTGTTTAAAATCGTTTAATAATATTTCACATACATATGTATATACAAATAATATAAGCAATTCTTATTTATAAACGAACTAAGTTTAATATACAATCACAAGGCAACACATCCCAAATAGCATCGCATGTGTTTACAATCCACTACGAACTGTCAGAACCATATGTGAGGAACACATGTGTGGAATGTGGAGTTTGTCACATATGATCAGAGAATAACTACTAAAATAATTTCCTTTATATTTATATATAAAACCCTAATATTATTATAAGGTCTCTGATATTAATATCAAGAACACTAAATACGAGAGGACTTCTCAACTCAAGCGATTTCATTTCTACACACATTATGCTATTCAATAGGAACGCGGAGATTTTGCATTGGCTGTGTAGAAATTGATTTTGATTTCTCTCTATAGTTCACATTTTTACGTATTGATACATGTGTGAATGTAGCATTAATCAATGCTCGAGGTTTCCAGCAACAATTTGCCTTAATTAACCAACACAATAGACAAAAAGCTTCACACATCTATTCTTCGTACTTATTGCACACATCCCAGCAAATATTTTCAATCGCGGAAGAGTCTTCCGCGAATAGTAATGCTGAGCAATTTAATCGCGGAAGAGCGCGTCTGAGAGTCGCAGACGATGCTTTCGTTGTGAGAACTTGTCCGCTCATCCGTGATTCGTTTAGAAGCGTAACAAATTAGTCGCTTATGCGTCGCTTAGAAGCGTAACAAATGACTCTTCTATCACATTTTATTTTAATTTATTTTTCATTATCGTATAAATAATTAACATTAAGTTTGTAAATAATTCATTAGCAGTAAGAAATAAACATTGTGTGGCAAACTAGCCACATATTTATTAAAATTTTTTTATTAAAATTTAATAAAATATATATAATTTTAATAAAATATTAAAATTTATTTATTTAAATTTCACACACAACTGTAACACTCTAATTGCACTTTAATATTAACAAAAGCATACATATACATAAATTTTGAGACAACAATCGCTAAACGATCGTCCAAATGCGTAATAAGGGAGTAACTTAAAAACACATTCGCCAAACAATCGTCGAGGCGAGTAATAATTGCACTTCAAGAATAGAGAAACAAAAGCGACATACATACGTAAATATTATATTTCACAAAAGATAAAAAGAACAAATTAGCAATTTTGAGAGAACAATCGCTTAACCATCGTTAAGGCGAGTCATAAGCGACGCAATTTGACGATTGGCGATAAATGAATCGTGTAAATCCTGGCTGGGATACTATATGATTTCGTACGCAAGAGTAGGGAACCAATATTTCTAAATATAATGCATAGTCTTTCTGTTTGTATATTTTTCCTAAAATATATGATTGAAAATATATGAACTTGAAAACTGGTTACCGATAGATGAGAGAGGGAAGAGAGTGTGATGTGAGTTCATGAATTTCAATCAACGAAATTTGCTTTTTCATCTTGACACGTATATTTATTCAATGTTATGTTTATGTTTACCTTTTCATGCTGAATGCTTTTAATTTCGTTTACTCTTATCACTGTAAGATATGATCAGAGCGTAGCTTGTGCTTAAAGGGTTCTTCCTATCACCTCCTAGATACATTTGCAAATTTCATGTTCAAACAACAATTATAAATTTTCACAAAAAGCAATTAAAATATTAAAACATATATATAATTTAATCAGTAATTAAATTAATTCAAACGAAGGAAAGGTTTTTATATTGATCCAAGGAATATATTTTAAAACGATGTAAATGTCTAACTGAATTCTGACTACGCACGGTGTTAACATGTCTCCAAAAGAAAATATAGCAAAACAAAAACAAAGGTAAACAAATATTGTACTCTTTCTCTTCAGCTAAAAATGCATCATTTTATATGAAATTTACAAGCAAAAACAAAAATAGAGAACAAACACAAAGCGTTCCTCTGGATCGGCCTGTTTTTGGAGACAAGTTTTTCAAAAGCTAAGTTCAGAAGTCCTCTTGTATTTAGTGTTCTTGCTAATATGTACTGCTCTTATATCATCGATTATTATTTACAACTGTCTGTGTGAACAAGTGGTTCTACTTATTATATGTGATGCTATTCCTATATACTACATAGCTCCAAACCATTTCTTAAGCGTTACAATTTTTACTAATATAAGTTAAAAGGTTGCTTAAATGCATTAACTGGTTCTGATGGCTCTTTCATTCTTAAACAGTTTTTACGGTGTTTCGGTAGCAGGTACATGTAGCATTATATTATTATATTTCTCAATAGGAAGGAGGTTGAGTAAGGAAGATAAAAGTACACCAAGCGTATCGTGTTAAAAGTAATGGAAATAAATGCTAAAGTTTTGGAGAGGGAAATAAGCTAATTAAAATAAGATGGATAAGAAAAGCGTATAGTGAGATTATCTATCATTTAGATCAAGGATCTTACAACCTTACAACCTTCGTTCAGCAGACGCAAAACTTAATTGGGCTCAGTTTTGTTTGTGTTTTAGGATGATTTAACATATGATGAACATTGTAAGCTAACGAGCTGCAGTCTGAAGCGGAAACAGCTACTTCTTAGAGTTATTCGCTGTACTCAACCAGGAAGAATAATTCACCATTTTTGAAAAATCCCCATCTCGTTTAATTCTTTATTAAGGTGTATATGCCGTTAATCACTTCTTTCTTTGCTACAGAATTACCGTGTTTTTGTTTTACATATGTTAAGTCTTAATTGGAAGCAAGCTAGTTACAGTAATTCCGTTTTTTCTGGGACTTTGTGCTGTTATATACAAAGTACATAATATATACATATATAACAACAACAGCACCTCCAACATATATTTTTCTGTCGTGTATTTATCTAAACTTTTATTAATATTAAATTATAATTATTTACAGATACTCTGCAAAACACTAGCAGGGAAGCGTTGATCATCATATCGATACTATGAAATCGATATGAAGATTTCGCTTCCAATCGCTTGGTTCAGTTCCAAACGCTATAGTCGTTAATTTTATACAACTACAGCTAATTAACTTCAACATCGCATAGAAGAAACAGATCTTATGAATGTTAAAAATCATGATTTTTAATGCTTAACTCTTAAAAACTTTCAAATATAAGTGATGCTGAGCAGGACAATGCAGCAGACATTTTCAATTGAGAAAATTGAGCAGAAAAAATGAATTTTATAAGTGATAATTTGCAAATCTGGTATACAGAACGATCAAAATTGACTTTCATCTGAAAATACAAACAAATTGATTGACAATCTATAAAATATCTGACAGTTAAGTAGGTCTTACCAGCATTAAACTCATGAATCTCCTTAAACTGGGACAACATAACCAAGTTATCCCTTGTGGTAAATTTTGGGAACGTGAAGGAAATGAAGGCAACGAAATAGCTGACTGTCCCTCCCGCTAAACAAGTAGCCCAAGGTAAAAGAATTGGACCTGAGCCATGCTATCGTTTGGTGATAGGGTACATCGTGGACTGCTTCAGATACTGGGAAGACTCCCAATATTGAATGAACTGTAAAGGTTAAATACAAGCTACGAGATTTATCCACCAACATTAAGCACTTTCTAATAGTCTCCTTATTAAAGACACTATTATTATTATTAATAAAAAATGTTAAATTTGTTTAAAAATTTATGTTTTATTTGTAGTTACTTAACATTTGTTACATTTGTTACATTTGTTAAATACATTGTGAATATTTTACAGCTTTAGTTATACCATAAATATTGAGATATTCTAGAAAAATTTATAAGAATTTCTCATTATTTTTACATAAATATTTTAAACAAGTTTTATCAACGTTCATAATTGTTAATAACAATAATATTAATAATATTAAAATTACAAAATTTTAATATTTGTATTTGAATTTGCAAAATGTTTAGTAGGTCAGGGCAGAAAAAAAATGCGTCGGTCGGTTTTCTCCTCAAACAAAACAGCTGAGCTGAATGACACATGGGCGTAAGTGTAAAACTTTGTGTAACACCAGTGGGCGGAACTACTAAACTACACTGTAGTAAACATGTACTGTAGTTCTCGACCATTGGTATAGTTAACTATTGCCATAATACATTGCAACTATTGAATAATTAAAACCGATATTATACTTTATACTTTATACTAAGTTAATAAAACTCAATGCAAATTTCATTAAATTATTATTGATAATTTGATGAAATCTGAAATGAAGTCCGTTTTTATACTTAACCACGTAAGTTAAATTTAATCTTCAATTGTGTAATGAATTAAGTAATAATTTGTGTAATTAATAATGTAATTAAATGTGTGTTATGTAATTTTATTATATTAAATTTAAGTAATTAATTACATATTTATGTAATTAATTCAATAATCGCGTAATTAATTATATAATCATGGAATTAATTATATAATCGTATAATTAAGGATCTAATTAAATGTGAAATAATAAAATGTGAAAGAAATTAAAAATTAAGATACTTTTACAAAAAGTATAAATTTCTTTCATGTAATTGAGAGGGTGGACAATGTATGCTTTCAGCAACTAAATAAGCTAACTTATGCGCATACTGACAAACAGCCGGGACACGACAGGTACCTGTGTAGTTATAGTACATGTGCGTCATTTTGTATGTGAGCATTTGTATACGATCTGGTGTGAGACCCATGGTATCATAAATTACATTATAACTCGTAGGAGAAACCGTACCCTGACGCACACTTTGCGAAACTATGAAGAAATCATAGCGTTCCGGCAATGTTATAACATCATCAACGACTGTTCCTGGTGGTGGATTATTATTGCTGAAAAAGTAGCGAGTATTTAAACGTTTGGAAACAACTATGAAAGCTAAACGTGGTCCAATTTCATGTTTTCCAGCCGCTTCATAGATTTCTTGTGCCTTGATTCGTAAATGGTTAAGCTCAGTATTTACTACTTGATGCAGTTGACCATCGCCGACACCATCACGATAAAATAAAATGCGTTCAGGCAAAGATCCGTGTTCATTTCTATATGCTCTCAAAGCGAATGCGAAATGCAGTATAATATCATTTGAAAGCTCTTGATATTTTTGGTGCTTACTAACAGCCGAAAAATATCTTGATGAACTGCGGACATCCATTGTGGCAACAAGGGCGCTATATGAGGTATTCTTATC